GGAAAGCAATAAACCCTTTCCCCTGAAGTACAAGGGCAGAATATGATACAATGAGATGAGTCTGGTATGATTATATCAGGGGCAGTGTTTTGTCCAAGATATCTAGCTAGTAGATAAGAAGAGAATGCTTGAATTGTCAAAGCACACAACTATCTATCAAATGAGTTTGAGCAGCATCTACAAAGTGGATATAGAGATCTTTGGCAAAATTTTTCTGAAAAGACCCAATATTCCCTTTCTTTCTAGGTTTAAAAAAATTGATGAGAAATATATTAAATATTTGAGAAATAACTCAGAGGAAGTCCCCTAAATGTTTATCAATAGATAACCAGTAAAATAAATTATGATATATCTATAATACGAGAAAAGTCCTTTATGTGCTGATATGCAATAATATCCAATTTATATTGTGCAGTGAAAAAAGTTCATATGAGAATGTATATAGTATGCTACCATTTACTTAAAGGGGGAATAAAATATATACATAAAGTGGAATAAAGTCTTACAATCTTCACATGTTTTGAATTTTGAACCATGGAAATATATTACTTATTCGAAAAAGTTATCCTGATATGCTCCAGATGATTCAAGTCTATTTCTTTAGATTAAAATTTAATTTTTCTTATATATTGATCATAAGAATGCATATCATTCTTTGACATTTGATGTGTCATAGAAACAAAAGTGCTACAAAACTAGCAAGCAATTCTATCTATAGAAACCATGTTTCCACTACGGATATTTAAGCTCCTATGAAGGTCACCAAACAAATGACATTGTCTTTTATGGCACTTTTGAGGGTAGTGTACATAATGTTCTGCCAGAAGGAATTTTCACTCATGTTCTACTGGAACACAAAGCAGGCAATTAAGGGCAAAAAAAAAAAAAGAAGTAATTCCAGCAAAAACATTTTATAAAATGTTCCTTGTTTTGAGAAGAACTAAAAAAAAGAATAGCTATAAAAACCTGGTTATTATGGATATAACATGAATAGATCTTTCACCAACTATAGAAATGATGCCTGAAAATGCAGGCTTACGAATAGATCTTTAAAACCTACCCTTTGGTAAAGCACACAGACCTTCTGCAAGTGGGTTTAACAATGTCTAATAAAAGAGCATATCGCAGCAATGACTTTGGAGGTAAAAAGTACTGATTCATGTCAATGTCATCTTCAAGAAAATCTTTTAGCATTTGCACAGAGAGATCACCGTCCTGTTGATTTTTCCTTTCAATTTCTTCTGCAGTTTCAAGCTTAAAAAGAATGGCATCTTTTCCAGAACACTGTGTGCTGCCATCAAAGCAAATATTTGGTTCAATTTTTTCTTCAATTTTATTTTCTGCATCTATTACATATTTTTGTGGGTGTTCAGATTCAATTTTGGGGAACTCCATGAGTACCTGACATTAAGTAAAAATACACAAATTATCAAAATCTTTATTAAAAATAAAAGACAAATTAAGAATGGCCAGTCAACAGTATGCAAAAACTTCATTACCCTTCACAGGGTTGTCATTAAAAGATAGAAAATGTGGTTTACTTATATTTGTACAAGTTATTACAAGTTACTAATCATATAGCCAAAGTGTCATCAGGCTACAGATGATTTATTTCATAGAGTTACTGCCTTCTGTATTTATTAATAAAAATTCAACAAAGTAATAGAAAGTATATTGCATAACAAAGGGCATCATATATGGAAAAGAAGTTTAGAAAGCAACATTAACATTTCTAGAAAATGTGTTTCGGATCAAAGTTTCCCATACTCCTTCATTAAGAAGGAAAAACTGGAATATACCCAAGAGCTAAAGGAAAACTAGTAATTAAAAAAAGAAAAGTGCTTTTCACCATGAAAGGTTATGTCTACTCATGAGCTCCTTGGGAAAAATTTGTTTCTGCAAAACACATGACTATGTATAAAGTCCTATATCATAAAAGAAAAACCATTACAGGCATTTTTAATGATGAAGTCTTTGAAGTCAATGTATCACATTAATATACTCTATACATTGTTTTTGGAATTGCCTGCTATGGAAAGGGAGATATATTAGTATTATAGGGGATTCAAATGACACTACTGATTTCCTATTAGTAGGACATGAGTTCTTAACCTATGACAGTTATAGAGAGCTTCACTGAACCACGGAAACTCAGTTATCCACTCCCATTTTTGATCAAAGCACATAAAATTGCTCGCATGATTAAAGACTCTACCAGTAGCAATTCAGCATTTAATTTTAGCTTATACTAATCATTACTATTAATATATTTTAATCAATTAAGCTAAATAGCACTGGCTTTAAAGAAAATACAAACAATGTGTTAAAATACTCTTAAGCCATCTTTAACACAGAACATTAAATTTTATCAAAGTAACTAATGGCTTCTATCAGGGAGGGAAAATGCAAAATAGTTAATGGTCAGAAGGAAAATTATGGGGGGAGGAAGGAGATAACAGTACTAATGGTATTTTTTTTTCCTTTTAATTGATTTGTTTTCTAATGAAAAAGAAAAATTTTTTGGTTTTTTTTATTTTGTTTAAACCAATAAAAGTGGCATCAGGAGAGGAAAAGGCCTTGGAGATGGCCTTAGGGCATGGTCTATACTTTAGACTCTATAGGATACATATAAATGTACAAAAAGTAGTATTTGAAAATCAATTAGCACACTGATACATATCTGCAATAAATAAACCATACTACTAATAATAACCATACCTGACCAGGGACGTGAAAAGGTAATGGTTCTGACTGAAGCTTTGCGATAAGGAAATACCGTAGCCTTGAATTTGGAATGCCAAGCTGAAAGTAGAATAGAGTAGTTAGTTACTACAGAAAATTCAAGAGATCTGCACTAACTTTAACACCTAGTAAAAAAACTCATAGAGGTATACATTTACCTTCTGCCAGAGCAAAAGCTGCTATCGATTTGCAGAAGACTTCGTGATAGCAAATTCTAAAACGGTTAAGCTTCTGCTCTGTATCTTTATTTGAATGAGGTAAAGCCTGACTCTGAGGTAAAGCCTGACAAATATGTCTATGAGTTACTTTCATTTTACATTTCCCAGATAAGAATATAGATATTTTTAAATTCATTCTTGATATACAGTAATTATAACAAAAATGAAATTCAAACATAGCTGTTCTTCACTATTTATTACTTCATTTACCAAAAAAGGAGAATTCACTATGTTTTAGAAGTTAAAAGGCAATAAATATGAAATAAATTTAAAAAGATCAGATATATTGGCAGTTTCCACAACTTGTATATCTAATTTTTTAAATGGGTTTTCTTTCAATTTCTGGGCAATGAACTATATAATATGGCTAAAGATGATAAGAAACTAACAAGCACAAGGACAAAAAACAGACAGCAACACTTATAAAATCAAAATCTGTCAAATAACTTATCATCGCCAACTACTTCAATTTCTTACCCATGAAATGGAAGCAATGTTTGCAATTTAATGTTATGTCCTCAAAACAGTAATTAGAAAATTACCATATGTTCATTTTATTTTCTATCTTGGATTATTTTGAAGCATTATTAAACTACAGCATACCAATTTATAAATACCAAATTTTACATATTTTCAAAATATGCTATCCTTTATTCTCCAAAAGAAAAATATATTCTTTATGACCTTCAAGCTATATAACTGTTTCATAAAATATGTTTAAATGAATCTATATGCATGTACTACATTCTTTAGAAAGTAATTCCCACACCTGAGCGAATTTCAGAAGGTACCTATAACATCCAAAATGGAGCCATTCTGTTTATTGAATCAAATTTCCTTTGGGGAAAAAAGTCTTTAAATTGTAATTTATATAAGGGTTTATAATTGTAGTACCTACAGAAGTTGGAGATAATAGAAATTCTTGGTACTGAAAGCCACAATTTTCTATTGTTTGTATCAGCAGGTCTCTGAAAAACAAAAGAAAAAAGAAAATCTTTCACCCTTTACTTGGAAATGCGTTCTTATGTAAATATTGTACATAACATTTTAAGTGAAAAATGTAACTCTACTCAAGTTGTTTAGAATGACAATGATTCTAAGTCGTTACTAAGTCCAGTACTTGAGAAATTATATTTAATAAAAAGATGTAGATATTTCTCTATTATAAATACATAAAGCTGCCAGATAAATTATCCAAGTTGATGAAAGTTAGAATCGATAAATTTGCCATAGGAACTAAAACTGTATCTTCAAAGTAGCAAATCAGAAGGGAACACTGTTATAGACAGCAGCTAGATCAAGGACTCAGATGGATGCTTTTTCTGCAGCTGGGCTACTATCTGAAAGAACCCTGACACTGAGCTGCTTCTTGCATCCAACTGCAGGGCAGAAAATGCCTGTCAACAGCACCAATTTTTACTGAAAACATTCCTACTATGAAAGAAATAGGCACAATATAAGTGACTAAAGTTGAGAAACACCATTCTCACTAACATGAGTGCTCATTCTAAAAATACTCAAACATCAAAATGGGAGAGAATCAGTTGAATAAAGCTTTGTAATGCCTTATGTCAGTAGTCAAAAATCAAAACTAATGAATAAAATATATAACATAAATAAATGTCAGAATGTATGCACTTATTTTTAAGATCTTTATTTCACAACAGTTCCTATTATAAAACATACCAAGTCCAAGATACAAGCAAGACAAATACATATTTTTACCTTGTAGAAGATACTTCAAAACCTTTAACATTTTCTAAAAGAATATACTTTGGTAATTTCTGTAATCTAAAAAATAAAAAAATAAAAAACAAATGGAATTCTAAATATCTCATTGCTAGGAAGTAAAAAGTAGAGAAAATCATTACTTGTAAGAAACATGAAGTAACTGTCTGAACTCTCTCTTTCTATAAAGGAGTTTAAAAGGATGGAGACAACTCATATTTTATTCATTTTCCCTAAAAACATGGTACTCTTGATAAAGTTAACATTTGAAATGTTAAATTCCATTGAAGCTTATCTCAAAACATGGGTTTGCACAGGGCCTCTGCACTGCACAGCCCAAAGCGTTGCCATTCACATAGAACGGCAGCTTTGAGGGTTAGCACAAGTTTTCAAACCACAAGTAACACCATTCGCTAACATTAGCATCATCTGTATTGCTACTATGAGCAGAGGCAATAGAATTTAGCTAATAGGCTGTAACTTCCTGCCACGCACTGTGGTGGCGGGCGTGGAATTGTGAAACATTTGCAGTTATTCTATTGGTCATGGCAGAAGATAAATGACATGCACAGTATCTGAAGGGAGCGTGTGTAAACTGCTAATCTCTATAAAACTGCAAACACCACATTCTTCCAGACCGAAAGTTTTAAATTTAAGGTAAGCTTCTACAGAAATCTAAGTTTTTACCTTGGGAGAATATCTAGAATATATAAGAAGCTATTCGTTCTTGGATCAGTCATATCACCCTGCAGGCCAATTCTAAAGGGGTAAAGAAAGCACAAAAAGTTTATCTAGAATCTTATATGGAGATATCAAATCACTTTTAAAAAGTCAAAACTGAGAGAATTAAGTTTGTCCTTACAAAAAACATGAACATCTTGTTGCTATAGAGGACAAAATTCATTTATTTATTTAATTAAAAAGAAAAAAGCCCTATATATCTAATAAATCATACTTAAAATTTATTTTTACAAAGCAATATGCCAAATGAAGCCAAAAAAAAGAACAAGAAATCAATGAGGAATAAAATCAATTACCCTCTTAAAAGCACTTTGTTCAGGAAAAATACACACACACTCACACACACACACACACACACACACACACACACACACTAGCCAACAACCTTTTGCTCTGCCCCAGGTGATACAAGAGTTCATATGAATAGGTAGCAATCTGGAGCTAATGGCATTGGTGACTAATCTAAGCAAATCAGAGTAGTAGGTAAGGCTAAGACAATCTTGTCCAATGTAAAAAAGAGAGACTTAAGCTGAGGACTTGAGTCTATTAGCAGGAGTTGCAACTTGGCTAGACTAACCAGGATCAAGACAGGTCATGTAAAGAGGTAGTATTTGAGCTAACAATTAGATCTTACAACTAAGAGTCTCAATATGATCAAGGATTGAGCAGAAAGGAAGACTTGGATTGGGCCTAAGTAGCAGTAACAGGACCAGGGTTTAAAATCATGCTACTTATTATTAAGAGCTTCATAAACTGACAGAAGGCCAAAACCATCAGTGAGTCTGAGGCTCAGCCAGGGGATTAGACTGGACTTGAACAGATTCCTCAGAAATCTTTGGTTCTTCTTATTCTGTCCCTTTCCTCTCAGAGTTTCAAATGATAACTACAAAATCAGTTCCTGCTGCCGTCAGCAGCTGGAGTTGGGCTAATACAGGGTGGGGGGATGGTAGGGAAGATATTGGGGCCCACCGCAGTGAAATAGGAGGCTTCACAGCGCTGAGGCTGCACTCTGTTTGGATATCATACTTATTGTACTTCACATTATGACTAATGCTGAATTATAAATATAAGTAGACGAAAGGAATTATTTATGAAAAATTTCAAAACTATGAAAACGTAACTGCCGAACTTCAAAGTGTCCATGCTTGAAACTATGGTATTACTTGATTTAACGAGTCCTTCAAAAGTACTCTTTCTTGACAGAGAACTATTTATTATACATACCTTGTGAATGGCTGGCACGGAGGGCTCATTAAAATCATATTGAAAGATAATCTGTCAAACTCTTCTAGCGTAATCCCCTAAGGAATGAACATTTGAGGGGGAAAAAAAAGAATATAAAAACATGGATAGAATGAGGCAGAAGGAAAATACTAATGAACTATAACTAAATATATCAGAAATTATAACATTGTATATAACACAATACTTTTCAAATCAAATTCAGTTAAACTTTCCACAGCAATCTGGTGCAGGACATGGGGCAGTAAACTGAAGCTATTAGAAATGAAGTCACTTCCTCGCCAGGTGCCAGCTCCAGCCAGAGCAGAGCTAGAAGGGCAGTTTCCTGGATCTTAAGTCCTTCTTTCCTCTGTCATGCCTCAAGCATAACACTGCTGTTTTCTGGGGTCAAACATGGAGCATGTTATTTTATAATTAATGACTTTTGGCATAGGGTAGAGGAAGTTTTAAAATATCTATTAATCAATAATTTTCTTTTATTTAGTAAATGTGATATACTAACTAGTCACCATCCCTTTTCATGTATGTCTGTTAAAGGCCTCATTTTTAGATATCCACAATTATTTCATTGTTTTGCAGTTGTACCCAAAGAACTTTAAAAGATTATAGACAAGATTAATCAAAATAATCCCTAATGGGCTAAGTGGTTGAAAAATGTGCTATTTTGATCCTTTTTATATATCAGAAGATGAACAGAGAGAAGCACAAGTCATGGGTTTGCCAACTCTTATTAAGCACTCTCAGTGCACATCCTTAGCCAGGAATTTAAAGAGATCAGCCCAGAATTACAACCTTTCTAATTATAATCCACTTCTAAGAAGTTCAAGTATGAGAGTAAAGCAGGAAAAGCTTTACTCTGAGTTTTGTAAAGAGTGAGTTAACCCCATCCGTGTCAGTTGTTTCCATCGTAGGAAAAGTCTGAATGTGCATGTCTGTCATTTTTGATCACAGGATTTGTAAATAATTTAAGATATATTTGTAAAATGAAATCCAAATTAAATATTGAAAATTTCCCAAAGCACTTCTGGAATCTTGGATTCCCAGGAAAGCAATTTGAAATCTTACACTGAGCAGTGTATGGGGCCTGGCATTAGATAGCACATCACATTCAAGTTCAACAGTTTGTCCATACAGGGCCCCTATGATGAGCAAATGGATATGGATCGATTACAGCTAAATTCCTAAAACTAAGGTAAAATTAAAACAACAGTCTTTTATAGCAATTATACCAGGACTATCCTATCTAGAATCTAAAGAAATTAAACAGAGTCAATGTCTCTAACACAGGTAGACACTAACAAAAAAAAAAATAACAATTTTAAAAGATCTTTGAAAACAATGATTTTTTTAATAGTGTAGGCCAAATAATAAGACAGTTATGCAAAAAATAATCACTAAATTGGACCATTCACAACTTAATTTATTTAATCTGGTATTCTAGGTTAATGAATACATATTTGAATTCAAGAAAGTAGTCATGGAGATACACGAGTTATCTTTAACGATTCGGTATTTTAAAGCTAATGGAAATTTATTCTTTTTCTACTATATGGCCATACAAATTAATGAAAATACTTTTGCTTTCATACAGTATTAGATCAAGTCAGTGTGGTAACACCATTTATCCCATGTTCATGGGCAGTTGTTTATGTCCCTCTGCCTGCCTTATTGCTTCTTTTCTCAGAAAGTTTCCTGGATATTCTTACACTTAATTTTCTTCTGCTTAACATCATTTTTCTGTTGCTTTTTTAAAAATGTTTTCTACCTCTGTTAAAAATACTATCTGACTAGGCATGGTGGCTCACGCCTGCCTGTAATCCCAGCACTTTGGGAGGCTGAGGCAGAAGAAGGATTGTTTGAGGCCAGGAGTTTGAGATCACCCTGGGCAACACAGCGAGACCTCCATCTCTACCCCTTGTCCCCCCAAAATTAGCTGGGCATGGTGGCATGTGCCTTTGTTTTTTTGTTTGTTTTTTTTACCATTGTTGATTTAAAGTTTACTTTATTTGATATGAGAATGGCTACATCTGCTTGCTTTTGGTTTACATTTGCATGGAATATTTTTTCCATCCCTTTACCTCGAGTCTGTGCGAGTCCTTGCAAGTTTCTTGGAGACAGCACATACTTGGGATGTGTTTCTTAAATCCATTCAGCCAATCTAATTCTTTTATGTGGGGCATTAAGACCATTCATGTTCAGTGTTAGTATTGATATGTGGGATACTGTTCTGTTCATAATGTTGAATGATACCTTGTTTTGTTTTCCCTCTTGTGCTATTATTGTATTAGAGCTGTGAGCTTTAACTTTTAGGTGTTTTTACACTGGTGTGTATCTATCGTGCTGTTCCATGTATGATACACTTTTGAGCATTTCCTGTAGGGCAGGTCTAGTAGTTACAAATTCCCTTAGTGTTTGCTTTTCTGGAAAAGTCTTGATTTCTCCATCATTTATGAAATTTCATTTTGCAGGATATAAAATTCTTAATGGGCAGTAGTTCTGTTTAAGAAGAGTAAAAATGGTACCCCAATCTCTTTTGGCTTGTAAGGTCTCTGCTGAGAAGTCTGCTGTTAACCTGATGGGTTTTCCTTTGTAATTTAGTTATTGCTTTTGTCTTGTAGCTTGTAGCATTTTCTCCTACACTTTGACTTTGGCTGGGTTGATGCCTATGTGTCTTGGAGATGTCCTGTTTGCTATGAATCTTCCTGGTATTCAATGACCATCTTGTATCTGGATATTTGAATCTCTGGTGATACCAGAGAAGTTTTCCTCAACAATTCCACAATACCACTACATGTTCACTAGAATGGCTAAAGTTTAAAAGACTAATAGCAAGTGTTGGCAGAGATGTGAAACTTCTCACTTAAATATTGATTGTGGGAATGGAAAATGGTAAAAAATCTTTTGGAAAACTATTAATATTTTCCCATAAAGTTAAAGAAATTTAACACATAACCCAGCAATTCCCCCTCTAGGTATTTCATTTCACAAGAAATGAAAACAAAGGTCCACACAAAAAATTATACACAAATGTTCATAGCAACTTTATTTGTAATAGCCAAAAACTAGAAACAACTTAAATGGCAATAATCATGTGAATAGCTAGATATATATTATAGCAGATGATATTCCATTGTATGAAATATCAATCAACAATTAAAAAAAGAGCAAGCTATCAATGTACACAACAACATGGATGAATTCCAAAAATATCAACACTAAACCAAAGCAGTTACACTCAAAAGAGTTACACTCTATGGTTTTATTTATGATATACTACAACGGGAAAATTTAATCTATAATAAAAGAAAGCAAATCAGTGGTTGCCTGGGTTAGGGCTGGAGACTGACCAAAATAGGGCACTAAGGAACTAGGTAGTGTGATGGAAACATTGCATGTCTTGATTGTGGTGGGGGTGGTTACATAGTTGATGTGTTGGTAAAAACTCAAACTGCACACTTAAAATGGGTGCAATTTATTGTATGTAAATTATGGCTTCATGAGAAATTCGTAGTAAAATTTTTCATGACCAGAAATTGGTAGAAAAAAACAAAATTTCATATTATTTTGAAAATAACTTAATGTACATTGGTGTTAAACACTTCTGCTGAGTTCATAACAGGTGAAATGGGTTAATTTTGACAAATTGGCCATAATAAAAAGCATTCAGTAAGTAATAACCAGTGACTGCCTCCCTTGTTTTTACCACATGCTATATATATTGTACGAGTATTGAATAAAAGCAAAGAATTAAAGTTTAATATCACCACAGACAGAACTAAGCATCTAGAAGTCAAGCATATTCTTACATTTTAATCCTTCCTCTCAGAGACCAAAATATTGATCTATCTCTACAGTTGGAAATTAAAAAAAAAAAAATAGCAGGCTATCTTCTGATAATCTACAAAAATGTTAATTCCCTTCTCCAAACTTTTTATTTAAATATGACCTATCTTCCAATTAAGCGCCCAGAAACCAGTATTTGACAGTGTTTTTCAATCATTTTCATTGCCATATATACTTGTTAAAATGGTAATAATTACTCACTTCAATTGTCTTGGCCAGTAACTGTGTCTGAGGAAAATTATACTTGTATACTTCATTAGCAACAGTATTTACATCAATGGCAGCGACCACTTGTGCAGGTATACCACTTTCTGTAATGAAAAATGGAATATCCTAAAAAGAAAAGTCCTCAAAAAGAAAAGTTCATTATAGAAAGAAGTCAAAATAGCAGAATTTAGTAGTACATTTCCTTACTTCCTCATTTATCTAGCCAAATCTCAGATTGTTGATGGAGGGCCAGGAGCTAGGCATGAAGTAGAATATTTGAACATGCACTTCTCGTTCATCTCTCTGACAGCATTCCAAGGCTAAAGATAAGATTTAAATGTTTTAGTCATAACCTCTTATATTTGCTTTCCTCCTTCATTAAGATAGATGCCTATGAGTCAAACAGAAAGTTTTCCTAAGTTAAAACAAACAAAAATAGGAAAGTCAAGTATATTCTGAAAAGCCACATCATTTGGAACTTTACGTAAATAAATTACCATTTGTTCCTCACTTCGTCACATTAATACAAAGTTGCTTCACAATTACCACTGAAAAGGTTTTCAGGTAATTTTTTTTTTATTAACAGCTTTATTGAGATATAATCCACATACCACAAAATTCACCCAATTAAAGCTTAGATAAGTTTTAAAATGAGGTGAAAAATTAATTGGTGTCAAAATGTAAAAGGCTCAAAGACCAAAAATTTAAAATTTTGACAGACCAGAGAGAATATGAGAAGAATAAGGAAAATAATCATAAAGGTGGGCCTTTACTGCCCTTCTGTCTTGCTGCTCAAGAAAAACATTTTCAAAATGTGTTCAGGTTCAGAGAATTCTAGTATATTCTTTAATAGCAGTCAAAATTTGAACTCTGTAATTGTAGCAGCTGCTATATTTTGCAATTACCACTCTCTTCACCAAAACATGTATAAAAGCAATTATGTGCGCACTCTATCCTAAATCAGGAGAAAATGTGAAGAGTTTTAAAAAGGAAAGTATTTGAGACTTCTTAAGAAAATCATCAGAGAAAACAATTGCAATTACATAGTAGCTCCAAATAGTTATTTCTTTAATAACCACTTGCTGATTAATAGTTAGCTTAGCTTAGCCCAGTATCAAAAAAGGAAAAAAAAGTTAGGATCTGAGGAGCTGGGGCTCAGGTAGCAGACACCTGGAAATAAAACCAGATCACGGCACATAGAGCAAGGAGAAAGGCTCCACACACTCACGAAACAATCACAACCTGACACTGCGGCCTAGAAGAGATGAGGCCAGAGACAAAGGCACAAGTGTCTCCGAGTAAGTACTTGCTGGGCAAGACGCTCAGGCAGGACCAGTTACCCCGGGTATCCTGCTGAAAAGGAAGGTCCCCTAGGCTTTGTACCCTAGAAGCTTTGAGGTCTGGTTAGTAATACCATAGGTAGTCTCCACTGAGTTTAAATTCCGTAATTAATTACTTGCTTTAGTATAAATTTAAAGTCATAAATGGTATCTTTGTCAAAGGCATCAGATCTTGGAACATAAGTCAAGGAGGCTTCTAAACAAAAAAGCATTAGTACATAAGAATCAATTTGCAAAATCACAGAACTAAGCTAATCCTTGTAAGAGCTCAAAATTAAATAAACATCATTGTACTATTTTACTGCTTTGCTAAATATGCTGTACTCATCATGATATAGCCTGCTTGCATTCCCACTACATATGCAGCAAACTGGGATTATCCTGGAGTTGGTTAATATGACTTTTGTCTTTTCTCAGGCTGAGTGAAAATCCACGGAGATGTGCTAAATCTGTACCATAATCAATAATTAATTTTATGGTCTTGCATTATGTGCCTAGAGGTCATAAAAACTGACCAAAAACCAACCACCAAATGAGTGTTTCATGTAGAGATCCAAAAACTGATGAACTGAAAATTCCTTCTCAGGAAAGACCGGATTTTTAAAGCCAATAAGCAAATGTACTCTGGGCATAAATTGATGTATATATTTTAGACTGTTTCAAAATTAAGACCTATTGTATAACCTAAAATGTCACTTCCATAAAGATAAATGGAAGTATTAAGATATTACTGACACTAATTCAACTTGCCTTTTCAAAACAATTGTTTGGAGGATACTGATGTGTTTCTAAGGAAAAAGTTGAACTTATACATAACAATTTTAAAAAGCAAGCCTGTCAATTCTGTCAAAATCTTAAATTGAGCTCCAAAGAAACGTTGTCTTTACATTTCCTAATATACAGTTTAAATCTGTAGTCTCTAAAAATCTTTACTTTCAAGCTGCACACACAGATTTTTAAAATATAAAACTAAAAATGTCAAAGTGAAAATTCTCTAGAATTTTGCCTAGCTGAACTCCACCACTTCAGCGATCTCATAGTAGTAGTTACCAAAGGGGAGAAAGAATCAGGAAAAGGGATCTGTCAGGATCTTTTGGTGGAAGTGGAGGGAGGGGATGTGTTTTCAGTACTTTGATCTATTACTTTGCCTGGATTTTATTCATGATACTTCAGTTACTTTTCGGGATTTCATATTTATCGATAGGAAGCATGGGTAAATAAAAGGTGAGACATCATAGTTAAAGAAACACAGTAAATATAATTTTAAAACATTGTCAGACTGGATCTATAAGGATAGGATAAGGGTATCATGCTTCCATTTCTATGAGGACTGAATTTTAAAAGGCAGATTTAGTTATATCAAGAGAGATTTCTATATGAGATGTTAGGAATGCCACTGAGAATACATACATAATTCTTGCTCTCAAGTATGTTTCTTATTATATTTATAACGAGAATCACACACATACCCTAGGTTTGAATATTAATAATTTTCCTTCTTTTTCTGGTCACTCTCTCTGGAAAAGGGAAGAACTTCTGGTTGGTAACAGTGAAAAGGTTTACAAGTTCACACACTCTACTTGATTTTCCTAACCAAACAAATAAAAAAATTTAATTGTTCATGTGCAGTTATTTAGGTAGTAAGAAATCAATATTTAAAAAATGTAAATATAGAACTAACCAGCCCACTTTGAAATAAGATAAGAAAGTGGTTTTTTAAAAATTCTTTTCCTTCTTTATCATTTATTTTCTGATCTGTATCTCATATAGGTGAATAACTATTTGAATTACTCATAATAATCACACCTGAGACATTTAATCAGGTATGTTAACACTGACATCTAGTTGTAAAATGGAAGATCAGTTGAACACATCCAATGCCTATTTCCTTTGGTTCAGAGTGATAGCTTAATTAGGAAAGAAAGCACTAAGCACAAACAGACCAGTAAGGATGCTCTCTCTCTCTCTCTCTCTCTTTCTCTCTTTTTCCCCACTTCCACAACTCCCCCAGCCCCAAACCTGTGGCTTTCCTTGGCAGAACAGAAGAGAAAATGCAATTAGCCACTTTTGGCAGGGCCACAGTTAGTCCTGAGGGTGCAGGGCACCTCTATTTCCAGGAGCACACGTTGGTCCCTGAAAAGATTTATTTCTAAATATAGGTAGCTGAAATTAGAGTTAACTTGAAACTCTAGAACAGCACCATCCAATAGAACTTTCTGTGATAATGAAAATGTTCTGTACCGGCGCTGCCCACTATGGTAGTCACTAATAATGACATACGTGGTTATTAAGCACTTAACACATGGCTAGTGCAACTGAGGAACTGAATTTTTAATCTAATTTCATTTCCATTAATTTAATTTAAATGGCTACATATGGCTAGTGGCTACCATACCGGGTAGCCATCAACAAAAATCCTGGACAGAAGACAGCATGGATCGTGGGGACAGCACAGCCTGTGGAGTCAGGAATAAATGATAAAACAATGAATCCCTGCTCCCACAGAGCTTCAGACAAGGAGAAGGTTCCAGACATTTTAAATAACATTATCTTAGTACGTTCATTTAGAATATTGTCTTTTTTCTACTCAAAGATCATGAAACGATTTGATTTTACTTTCTCACACACATCTTTGAAATCAGGGTCTTTATCACCAATAGAGCCACTTTTCAAGTTCTCTACCATAGTGTTCAAGGGGACATCAACTTCCCCTCAGTCAAAGTTACTTGAGATCTAGCATTTTTTTGAGTTCATGCATGATGCTGTCACTGGAAATTTTATGCCAACCACAAATACCAATTAGCTATTTTGATTTCCACAAAGTAACCACCTACTGTATTACTTTGTAATTTTCAAAAGGCCTGTTTACAATGACATCTGACACTTGTAATTGTGAGGTCATCCCCCTGAAAATTATTTCCAAATCTTTAAATCCATATGTATGGATTTATGGCCACTGATTTTTGATTTTTGGCCACTGAGTGACATCAATAAGCATCCAGAACTGGTATCAAGTTTCTTCACGCTAATGTAACTTATTCTCCAAACAGCATTTTATTGCTTTGCTATTTAAAATAAAGTTCAAATTGAAGAATATGAAAATCTTTCCTGAATTCTAAAATATAAAGCCATACTGTCTTTTTAAAGTATAAGTATTTGGATAAAATGAATAGCTTACATTGAAGAATTTATGACAAATGTGTCTGTAAGAGTGTATGCATATATGTTTGGGTTTTTTTATTTAAGATAATGGGATTATAAGCCTTTTGATTTTACAGTCATGGGAGAAATGCAAAAGTTGATCTCTTTATAGAAACAGACCCCTGAATTTTAAGTATATTGCCCTTGCCATACATTGATATACTGAGCCACAGAACAATCCAGAAAATGGTAGATTCACAGCTTTTCCCTCAAACCATGGTCATCAATATTCTGACAGTTCAGAATTGACTGAAAGAAATCACATTGAATGGAAAACAAGCTAGAGATAAAGGACTATTAAGATAAAACCAACAAAGAGCATCATTAAGTTTGAATATTCAAAGGATATAGTTTTAATAATTGACTCCGCAAGCAATAACTATGAAAACAAATTGGGAACACAAAAATAACATAACATGCATTCTGAAGATGCAGGGAAATTATTCTGGTACTTTATTTTATCACCTAAACCTCAGAGGTTTTAGGATAAAATTTAAACATGGTAAAACTACATATCTAGTATTATTTGATCAATTAAAGTTCCAACTACTTCTAACTAGAAT